TATATACTTTAATTTTTAAAGTACCGCACAAGAAAAAAATCCATTGGACTAAGATCTGGACGACGGGAAGGCCACAATGTGGTGCTTCGCCTATCAATCCACACCGTGAAATTGTTATTAAAAAGTTGGTAACTTCACCAGTATTATGACATGGATTATTACACTCAGCTGGTTTAATGGAATTTCTGACAGAAAGTCGTCTATTTCGTTTTGTAGAAACTCTAAGTATCTTCTACCTGTTCCATGAAAAATAATAAAAAATATCCGCTTGTTAAGGATTCCACACTAGACATCTACCGCCTTTTTCCCCTGAAATTGTATTTCGTACGCAAAATGGGGATTTCCATGAGATATATGCCTCATCCGTCCAAAAAATATTTTTGAAAATACATGGATCATTGTTATATTTATCCATCATTTCCTGACAAAATGTTACTCTGATTGTTATCATTTAATGTTAATTTTTATTTTAAAGAGTTTTAAATTGCCCTTTTTAAGAACTCTTTGTTTATGCATGATTTAGAAATATCAGTCTTTAGCGGCGTGGAGAACTTAGGATTTTTTTGGATATATAAAAGAATATTTAACTCCATTTCTTGATTATTATTATTAATATTTCTAGTCCGCTCTTTGTTTTTTGTCAATATATGAAAATGTCTGAACTTACGGGCCATATCTAAGAAAGTTTTTTTTGATGGCATGTACCTGTCAGGATACTTGTTTCCGTAATCTCTGACAGCGCCAGCGCCGCTAGCATTATTGTTGTGATTGAAATATACTTCGGCTAAAGGTATTACTACGTTCTTTTTTGATATTATGCATATTTCCCACTTTAATTTACCGAAAATTAATTCACAACTGCTGTTTATTGTTATTTTAATTGTCATAAACGTCAAAATAATATTGGAAATAAAATATCTATAAAATCATGGCAATCTTGAATATGCAATATGCGACGTTCATTTACGCGATTAAATGCAAATATGTATATCAAAAACTGTTAAAAATAAGTGCCACATATGTAATATACTTTAATTCAGAATAAAATTTTACATCTAAAAATGTAGTAATTTGCAGGGTGTTCCATTAAAAAAAATAATAAGTTGTATCCAAGGACATTTAAATAAAGGGGACTATGCATGTCACAGTCTATCTCATATGTTGGGTGAAGCTAGACAAGGGGAAAGCAGAGGGCTTTATTTTCATCCAACTGATGCGCGCGATTACATCTCCAATGTCGTACATTTTGGATGGGTCAAAATAAAATATTTTATAGTCCTAAGTCAATATATTTCAACAGCTACTCAGTATTTTTATAATAAATATATATAATATTTTTATAACTTCTTGGAATCCCAATAACTGCAACCATTTCTTTCTTGTTGCACCATCCCCAAGCATCCTAAAAACGTTCACATTTCACTTTTAGAATACTGAGGCAAATTTTCAGTGAGACATAAAAATATATTCCCAAAGGAGAACATCAAATGGTTGAATGAATGCAACTTTCAGTCGATTGCATCTTCGGTATTTTTATGTATAAGTGAACCACCACCATATTTTTGCTGTTGTATTTATTCAGTTTTTATGCTCGTGCATTTAGTATAATTGCAAATATATTTTTGAAAAGGTTTTTGTCGTAGAGGAAAATGAAAATGATGAATGATTAAAATTTGTAATATATATATTTGTATATATTATATTTGTAGTATAAATATATTAAATATAAATAATGTCTGTAACTTATTTGTGGTGCAGCATTTTCCTTTGATTTTAATGGCCAAACGTGGTTCATATTATTGTTTTCTTACTATTTTAGCAAAAATTTAAAAAAAATACCAAGTCAGTTTTATAAAATTTTACCGTTATTCAAATAAAAGTTACCCACACGCACGACAATGGCCACAGTTGCATATACATTCCAAAGTCACCTTCAAGCACGCTTACCTGTGGAAGGATAGCTGATGTGGATGTTTATAATCCAATTTGTTACAAATTCTGCACTGTCTAACCATATTCACACCTTAAAAGTTTATCCAAAATACATGTATAAACATTAATCACGTTTCACTTACTAAAATCACAACTATTTTCTAACAAGAGACGCCATATTCTGCCAACCAGGGCAGAACGAACGAGGAACACGCTACAAATTATTGCGTAGTTGCCAAGTCTTCAAACATGGCAAATATGAAAAATGAAAAATAGTTTAATATGTACAGAATTTAACAGTATTGTATGCATAACTTAATAATACTATCCTATAATAATAATTTTCACAATTGTGATGAAAATTGCGATAAAAATATTAAGTACATTTCCAGTATAATTATACAGCTGACAACAATGATACAATTAGACTGTGAATAGACCAGGCTTCATCTAGAAATGTAAATAAATAAGTCCCCTTTATTTAAATGTCCTTGGTTGTATCTGTCACTTCGACATTTAAATTTAAATTGTTTTTTTGTTGCTACAAACAGAAACTTCATAAAAAACACTTTCAACAAAATTTTTATATCTGCAAAACTAACCGAGATAAGTGCTGTGGGAAAGTTAAGTAGGACACCCTGTACCATTAACATTAACTTGTAATAAATTAATCATTTTGAAAAAGATTTCTCTATACAGGGTGGTCCGAATTTTATGCAGGAAACTTCGAGGGTAGATAGATCTCTTTAAAATAGTAGGTGTTTGCCTTATAAACATAGGTCCGGAACGGCCTCGTTTTAGTGATACAGGGTGTTGAAGTTGTTAAAAAAAATTGATTTTTTGTTTATATCTCCGGAATCCATCAACCGATTTCAATATAATTTAGTACAGATAATGTATGATAGTAGGCCTTGTATTCCCTAAAATATGAGCTCTAAAGGTCCAACCAGTGGTGTACAACTGGACAGGGTCACCCCTTTTTTACAAAAAAAACCTACGCCACTGTATTTTTTACAAGCTATTGTAACGAATTTATATTCTAATGCACAAAATACGTAAAAAAGGTAACTTGAATTTTTTCCCTAAAGTTCACCGTTCTCAAGTTATTCATACCAATACAATCCCCTTGTGGCAGATACTTCTAACCATAATATTACAAGAATATTTATGTTTATGCTTAAAAGTAAGTGCAATTTGTAAGCACATCAACAAAATTCTTTCCACATCACTTGTGAGGTAGTGTTCCTGGTGTGTTTTAGTTTTCCCTGGAGGCATTATCTTTACAAATAAGAACAATTTAAATCAAAATAATAATAAAAATACATGTATTTTACCAAGCAACAACAACTAAACAAGAAACAAAATTAACGTTAAGTATTTACAGCAATTGTTTAAAATTCGAACCACCCACATCGATACATTTCTGACATTTTCTATTAATGGAACTAATTGTAGCTAATATCATGTGGTGGTTTTCTTTTAATTCATTACACCCGTCTTCTATTCGCTGCAGTAGTTGTGGTCTAGTATCTATTGGAGTAGAGTAAACTTTTCAGGTAGGTCACCCCAAACATAGAAGTCCAGGGAGTTTAGATCTGGCGATCTGGCTGGCCAAGACACTGGACCCTCGGCACCATTATGGTTGACATTGGCATTTGGTCTTCTACCTATCCATCATCTCATATAATTTTCATTAAGCCATTCTTGTATTATTCTCCTAAAATGCGCAGGAGCACCATCCATTTGTATCCAGCTATTTTGTCGTATATTTAATGGAACATCCTCTAATAATTCAAATAGATGGTTTTCTAGAAAGTTTAGAAATGACTCCGAATTTCATGAGGATTTTCTTGTGACCAAATATCCAGATTGTGAAAATTCACTACCCCTCGCCTTGTGAACGTAGCCTCATCGGTCCAAAGTATTTCTGGTAAGAATTCAAACAACTACTGATACAAATTCAGGCGTCTCTTTGCATCTCCCGGAAGTAAATTTTGCACAGGTTGTAAATGGTACGGATTTCTGCCATCCTTACGTAGAACTTTTCAAATTTTCAATTTACTCACCCCAAGTTGCCGAGACGTTCTTCGTGTACTTAGCCGAGGATCGTCGTCAAATGCTTTTAAAATTTCATTTCTGTGCCTTTCATTCCTTTGTCGTGATTTTCCAAATATTGTTTTAATCCAAAAAGATGAAAGCGATGAGTGTAAAGAATTTTGTTGATGTGCTTACAAATTGCACTTACTTTTATGCATAAACATAAATATTTTTGTAATATTATGATTGAAGTGTCTCTCACAAGGGGATTGTATTTGTATGAATAACTTGAAAATGGTGAACCTTAGGGAAAAAATTCAGGTCACATTTTTTACTTATGTAGTGTATTAGAATATAAATCCGTGACAATAACTTGTAAAAAATACAGTGGCGTAGGTTTTTTTTTAGAAAAAGGGGGTGACCCCTGTCCAGTTGTACACCACTGGTTAAACTTTTTGAGCTCATATTTTAGGGAATGCAAGGTCTACTATCGTACATTATTTGTACCAAATTTTATTGAGATCGGTTAATACAATCCTGAGATATAAACAAAAAATATAAATTTTTTAACAACTTCAACACCCTGTATCTCTAAAACGAGGCCATTCCGGACCTATGTTTATAAGGCAGACACCTACTATTTTAAAGAGATCTATCTACCCTCGAAGTTTCCTGCATAAAATTCGGACCACCCTGTATATTTTCAAGATATCTGCAAGTAAAAGGTACCTAGAGTGGAGCATGTTATTTGTCAGATCATTAATAAAATAGAAAAAAGTAGCGGTCCCAGTTGGAATCTTGGGGAACACCATAATTATATATTTTATTTTAGAAGATTACTAATGAGTACGTGACTTAATTTGATGAGAAGTAAGGAAAGTTCCTAGAACTAATGTAAATTAACTTAATACTTACAAACTAACGTAAAACTACGCGAAACGCGCAACACCGATCGCCACTTGATTATCCTGAAAGGACGATCCTTCGCACGTCCGAATCAAACTCCGCGACATCTGTCCCTAACGACTCACCTGGCTGTCCTTGAGCCCCAACTTCTCCGCCAGCTTCTTCCTATCCGGCTTGCTGATGTACTTCTGGATCTGAAACCGCCTCTCCAGCCCCTTTCGCTGTAAGTCGCTGAAGACGGCCCGCCTCATCATGCCCCTCCGGGGCTTCCCCCGGCCGCTGTGCGCCCAAGGGAAGGTCCCCGGCAGGGGGAACACAGCCGATTGCGTGCCGGACACCGGCGTCGACACTAAAAAAAATTAAAAAGAAAATTAAACACTGGAAAGTTCGAATTAAAAGTATTCCTCGACGGAAAGTTTAGTATTAAGTTCTTAGTTGAGTGCATACAAGCAAATGAAAAAAAAAAGTCAAAGAGGCAGATATACCGAGGAGAAAGAAAGTTAGTGGCGCCCTCTAATAAGTGACAGCAAAATTAAAATAGGATATGAATTCATCGCATTCAAGGAACATCCCGTTCGTAATTCTACCATGTCCCAAATCAAAATAAAATAATTACTACTATTGATACGCAAAAAACGCGTTTCTTGTTGTACAGGGTGTTTATTATCCCCATGCCCTTATTTTCCATATCTGTTTTAATTTTACAAATCAGTATACCGTTTACACAACAATCAAAAATAGGCAGGATGAGTATGTCCTCCTTTTTTGGTCAAGTATGTCCTTTTTTTCATTAAGAGTGCTTACCTGTCAGATAGGGTTGGGGCCTACAGTGCGCCAGCAGCAGATGGGGGTTGAAATGCGGGGGCCGGCTCGCAACAGGTTTGGCTATCGACGGTGAGTGATTGTTGAGGTACGTGGAGAGGCCCAATAAACTAGGCGGCGTTACGTGTACTAAATTATCTGGAAAAAAAAACGAAGGGAAAAGGTTAAAAGTATGGTGGCGATTTCGAACGCAAACAGTCTGTCACTTTTGTAATGGAAAATTTATTAGTGTTAATTTTCTGGAACAAAACAAAAATTTCCATGACTGTTCATGAAAATTTCAGAGGAAATATATTAATTGTCTCCAAAATTTAGTTAATATAGCCAAAAGAACGTGTTTGTTTTAGTATATAGCAGCTGAAGTGCCGCTAAACGAGAGTGACATTTATTTTATATTAACCCTTCATTTTGAAATATACAGGGTGTCTCGTGACTCGATGGCCATAATTTAAGGTCGTATTCCTTGGACAATTTTAAGTTAAAAGTGCCTTATACACTTTGTCCAAAACTGAATAGTTAAGGTGTTACGGGCAATATTAAATTTAACAGTAAATAGATCTGGTAGACTTGTCAGTGCTGCGAGAAACAACTACTCGGGGAGCTATTTGCACCTACAGGCATTGAATTAAACTCGCAACACCTAGTGCAACAACTAGGATCGTTTGTCAGTTTACCCACCAGGCACAGACCGGTTTCGGACTTATTAGACCTCATCAGTGTGTCATAGGTGCGAGGAAATACATTGTACATATATCTGGTAGGCCATATATTTGTTTTGCCATATTGTTATGGTGACATTGTTTATTCTTTGACGTTGATTTAATTTTAAGATTAATTTGAGGTGGCTAAGTTTTCAAATCAAGAATATGCCCATATTCACTTTATTTACGGATACTGTGATGGAAATGCGAGAGCGTCAGTGCGGGAATATCATCGGAGGTTTCCTGATCGAAGAATACCTAATAAGCAAGTGTTCATAAATGTCAGTTGACAGAAACAGGTACTTATGTTTCCTAAAGCTACTGCAGAATGTCCCGTGCAGAAAGAACTTGCCGAAGAAGAAGCTATTCTTAACATAATCGAAAATAGTCCCTCTATTAGTATACGAAGACTATCTAATCGTGTTTATGTTAGTCGAATGAAAGTCTGGAGAACATTACACAATTTTGGTTTGTACCGATATCACATAAAATTTGTTTAAGATTTACAACCAGTAGACTATGCAGCTTGTGTTGACTTTTTTGTCGTTGGTTGTTTGCACACCCACAGCTTTGTGGACAAATTATGTTTACGGATGAAGCCACGTTTAATAGAGATGGAATTAAGAATACCAGAAATTCACATTCATGGGCACTTGGGAACCCTTTGGAAATCAGGGAAACGCATTTTCAACATCGCGTTTCGGCGAATATTTGGTGTGGTGTTTTTAATAACCTTCTTATTGAGCCATTCGTATTTCAAGAACGTTTAACATCGAAGCATTATCTAAATTTTTTACCAGGATTAATGGAGGATGTTCTAGTTCAGAACAGAGTTTGGTGTAAATGTGAGAGAATATCTAAACAACAACTTTGCTAACCGGTGGATTGGAAGAGGAGGTCAATATCCTGTAAGGCGCTCTTCAAAAACAAGAACCCAATTAGTTGATCATCAATTATGCCACACCAGACGTTTATAGAAAATCATCATTGAAAAGTAGATTCATTTTTGAAATTAGGATTCTCATCAGACCATCTGTGAGAGTTACGCGTATTGTTCACTCCGTCTCGAGTAAACAGCGACTCACCAGTAAATAAAATACGTCTTACTAATTGAGAATTTGCTTGAATCCATTGGTAAAAATGTACCAGTGAAAGTAAGTCATGCGGTTCCAGACACTGAACCTGTTATATAGGATAAGGATACAATAGATTGCTATGTAATGTTCGCTATACTCTCCAATGAGGAACATTCGTCCATGCTGGAATTCTCCTTGTACTTAATTTTGGACTGTCTTCAAAGCAAACTGTTTTCTTGCTCAATCAAGTTTTGCTGGTCAGGACGTTCATAGTTAGTTGAAGTTGTTGGAAATGAACCATGCATTCGCAGATGTCGAAACACAGAATCAAATGTTTCACGATTTAACATTCTTCTGTTTGGAAATCGTCGTTGATACTCTCTACGGGCAACTCGCAAAATTTCATCACAAAATCCATAAATGTAAACTGTGTCGACATACTTCTCGTTTGAAAACAGCACAGGCAAACTTTAAAGGTCCATAGCTCGTTAACCATGGATAATTGAGCCCATGTATTTTATAACTTTTTTATTCAGAAGGACTTGTTCCTTACGTTTGTCCAGTACGTCAGGCAACACCCTGTATATAGTTGGACAGATAGTGATCTTCTCTCATCCAGTGAGGATTTTGATCACTCTAGTACCTCAAATTGTGACGATTGACTAAACCATTAACAGTAAAAGTACAATCGTCGGAATAACAAATATTAAATACAAAGTTAGGGTCTGGGTCAACTTTTGCCATTATTGTTTCACATAAATCAAGCCTTGGCAACCGCTATAACTTTTATAAAATCTGTCGGTACACTGTAAAAAAACTGGTATTAGTGAAAGCAATAAAGGTTCGGAGTGAATTCATTGAGTGAAATTTTCACTCAATATTGGGCATTTTGATCATATTTAAATTAAAACTGAGTACTTTCACTCAAATATAGGTACTCCTTAAATAAATTCTTCACGTAAATTCGTATTTGGTGCACTTGTACCTAAATCAGAGTAAATATCTTCATTACTGAGTGATCCCACATCCAGATGCATTGTCTTTGTCTGTTCCCATCGTTAAATATTGTTAGTGGAACAAGCCGAAGTAAAAGTTATAAAAGACAATTTAACAATAATGTATACACAAAAGCAAAGTGGGTGTGCGGATGTGATATAAAAAATACAGTTTTGTTTTCCGTGCTTACTTTTCGGTAGGGATAAAGCATGGACAATATACAGTGTGAAAGATTTAAGTCATTTAAGTCATTAGGTAAAATAAACATAAGAAGTCAGTTAGATTCTGCATATTGGGATAATATACAGAAACACAATGAACAGGTAACGAAAAATCGTTATATATTATCTAAAATCATAGATCATAGATTGCATAAAATTTTGCGGAGCTTTCGAATTAGCACTTCGCGGACACGACGAGACAGAAAATTCGGACAACCCTGATGTGTTTCGTGGACTCATAAATTTTAGTGCAGATCTTGACGACATATTAAAAAAACATCTGTCTACATGGGTATGACCGGGATTTTCGGTGATTGTACCGGGAATTAGCTGTATGGTCCCGGATTTCGGATTTGCACGTATAACTCCCAGAATATGATATAATACACAAACGATTTTTTTGTTTATAAACAATATTCAATAATTTAATAAAATATATTTAGTTTATTCCAATTTATTTATACCGTCAGTAGGTAATTCGTGAATAGATATTTCAAAAAAGTATCAATTTCAAAAATCGTTCTTGTGAAAATCTGTATTTTTGTATAAATGGATTGTTCCTTGAAATTCAGAAGTGTCAGGAAAACGCATGACCTTGAAAATTTTAAAATTTTTCGCCTGCGGCATTAGTTACAGACTCCGGGCACTTAATATACCGGAATTCGATTCAACAAATGTAACAACCTTAAGCAGAACACATTCAATCAATGTGAGCGCGCCGCCACTGCTGTTTAGTAGTTTATGACAATGAGATTGACATTAAAATTTCAAGAAAATATAAAGTGGTGCATAACCACTCCAAACGTTCATAATATGCTAGCATTTATTAAGTAAATTGTACACATTGCTAGACCTAATTTCAAATAACATGACTTTTACCCAAAAATTATACAAATTTGATAAATTTCAATACCTAAAGTTATTACAATTGACATTATTTTAATAATACCTCTCCTAATTTGATAGTTCATCTTTTTGCAGAACACGCTGTATATCGTCTAATTAATTTCAACACTGTATATCCTAATTAATCATTTATAAGTGATTTATTTTTGCACTCAATATTTAGTTAATTAAAAACCAAGTCTGAGTAAAAAATGAATCAATAATAGTTAAATTTAAATCATAGTAGAGAAAAAGTCAACTCTAAATTGGTTTTATACACTCAGAATAGAGTCAAAAGTTACTCAATTGATAGTTAGCAGTAACTCACTCGTTTCTGTTGCAATAGTTTCACTCAGTTGTACTCATATTAATAGAGTGAAAATTTCATTCAATCGGGTGTGGACAGAAATTGATACATTAATGAGTAAAATTGAGTGAAATTTGAGTGAAATTTTCTTACAGTGTAGTTTGTTTTTTTAATTTTTTGGGGAGGAATAGAGGGTGTGTAGGGGGGAATCCACAAGTCAGATATTTTTTTTATCATTTTCGGATTGAACGGAAAATTTTACTAAAGGTAGGTAGGGTTCCGTTTCAAAAACAAACAATTTTTTTTTGTCGGTGTACCTAATTTTCAGATTTGGTTTTTTGATCTCGCGTTTCATTAAAATTGCTACTGTTTCCAGTTACTTTTATTTATCTTTCAATAAGTCTGCTTTAGGTATAATGTTAAACTACGAAACTGGAGGGGAGACAGACAACTTTTTATACTCAATTTAAGGACAGTTTCGAATCGCAGCCCGATTTATTACCCATTGAATTTTAATAAAGAAGTCCCCGGAATTAACGGCGTTTTTCCGGCAATAAAAGTTACGTCGGGAGAATAAGAGTTAGCATCGAGGTGGCCGGCGGCCGTAAACAACGTTCCGACCTCCTCCTTGGAGGCCGCTCGGCCGCGATGCCCGTCCGGACTACAAGGGGTTGATTTGAACGCGCGTCAGCTGGCCCGGCACTTAGCTCCGGCTTACACTGTAACCGCCCTTAAACAGGGCGCCCTAAGGGCGGGATTCCGGCCGCTCCAAACTAAATCTTTTCCGGCGGCGGCCTGTCGAAAAAACCTGCCGCCGCATTTCGCACGTATTAATTCAAACGCGCCATTCGGAATGCTAAATTCGGGAATAAATTGACTTGCATCCGGGAATATTCCCGATTTTATTCGGAGGTATCATATAAATCAGGGCGCGTGTTAGGGAAATTTTCTC